ATGTTTGGTTGATTTCACATTGAATTCACATTAGTTGACATCTCAACCAAATGTAAATCAAAACTAGACATTGAACTGACGTCTGTACCCAGTGGGTTGGGCTAGTTTGCGATTGGTAAAAAGACATCTCTCCCTGGCATAAATTGCAGTCTTATCATTCTAATTTGTACTGAGAAGTACATATAATTATTCAGTCTAAAAGCTAATGTAACATTGAATCTGCATTATATCATTTTACTATGAGTTCAAAAGTATCAAATAAAAAAAGAACTATTCCACACCTGGTAGATTTGACTTTGTGCTGAAATCCAGGCAAGGAAAAAAGTCATGGAATTCTGAAGTGGCAGGTTCTACATTGGCTCAGCAATGAGATTGCTCTTCTCTGTGAAGTAGTGTTTGAATGAGGTGTCACTGCACACAGTTGGAATAAGGTCCTTAGTCATCTAGTGAATTTGGTCTGATGTTGAGTTCCCAGGTCATCTCATTGATGTCTCCTTAAGAAAAAGAGAACAAGTGAGGTTACAATAGTTTGTTAAAAGGGGGAATCTGCAGTTTTGGGGATGGAGCTGGAGAAATGTAACCACTGTCAAATTCATAGACAGAGCTATGGATGCGAGGACTGACCATGAGATCATAATTATAGTTTTAATCATGTTGAGGCTATACAGTGTTTGTTTACAATTACATTGTTTACAAACATTGGGGTAAAACAAGCTGATATTTTGGGTTCTGATGAGGTATGACAGTTGAACTAAGCTCACTAGGCATGTATAAGTTATATATTCTTCAAGAATCAATGGGTATATATCATTAATTTATAAGTACAGCAATGGATTTGGCAACTAGGTATCCTAGCTTTAAAGGGACAATCTGTGACTGCTACAAATACAAGCTTGTTTTTGTAGCAATAGCAGATTGCCCCTTTAAAGCTAGAATATTTAGTTGCTACATCCATTTTTGGACATATAAATTAATTATATATACTCATTGATTCTTGAAGAATATATAACTTATACACGCCTCATGAGAATAGTTAAACTGTCATACCCCATCAGAACCTAAAATATAAGCTTGTTTACACCAATGTTTGTAAACAATGTAACTGTAAAAAAAAACACTGTATCGCCTCAAAACATGGTTAAAACTAAAACAATTATATCATGGATGGTCACGAATTTGAGAGTGGTTACATTTCTCCAGGCCCAGCCCTCAGCTTTTTATCAAAACAGAGGCGGGGTATCTGCTTTGTTGTTGTTTCAATTAAGGATTCTAGCTTTAAAAGACAATATCAACAAATCAGGGTAGACTTGCACCACTGGAATAACTTGGTGATATTACTTTACATGTTTGACTGGCCTGATACTGAACTTGATTAATCTCAGTGTTAACCCATTGAGTTAAAGCCTAGGCCCAAGGTATAAGTTCTGGGAGCTAACACAATTCTTCAGGTCTTAGGCAAGAATACTCATCACACATGCATACTGATAGTTCAATTAAGCACCTACTCCTCCACTACACATTAATCAAATCACTGTCAGAAAAATACAGTATTCATATATCCATGTGACATGTCAAACACATCAATAACATGCATATGAGAATGCTGCCATCTTAAGGCTGAGCGTGAACACATAATGCTCCAAGCTCTTGTAAGCTGAACACACACCTGTGACCTGCATGTTGCATAAGCAAAGCAATAAGCAAATCAAATAATGCCTGTGTAGAATTAGACTACTCTTTTCATGTATTCCATATTTTCTTGAAACAGTTATAAATAAATTATTCTGGTTAAACCAGTAATTTTCAAATTTCCAGAGTCTTTAACAATTTTCTACCGAATTGCCTTATGGCAGCACTTTATTTTTCTATACAGACAGGCATTTGTGACTGAGCAGTGGTTAAGAGAGCTATGTTCATCAGCCATTAATGGACTAGGGCAGACAAATGCACCTCCTTTTAAAAGCTTACAGTATCAATGCATTTCCATGTACACCAAATCCTCTTACATGTCAGGAATACACTTTCTGTAAGTATTAGAGTGATAAGCTATGTGCTTAAAGGCTGCAAATGTATTAAATTGTTTTTAAGGGGAAGCTATAGTATGCAAAATAGGACTGAATATCAATGATAATGATAAAGATTGAATGGAAGTGGACAAATAGACTGTGAGGGTGAGACATTTAGAATAATAGTTATTCATTCACAGGTGGCAAAGTTAGGTCTCCATGGTGATCAAAACTAAAGTCAAATAAATAAATGATATAGAGAAATGGATAAGGCTCATTGCGCTTATTTTCATTTGGTAAATGTATAAGTTTATGCAGAAATACAATATTTTTTTCAAAATAGTATGACAACAGTGAAATATTTTTTACAATTAAAAAGATGTCTAACCTTACACTGTGCTCATTTAGATTAAAAAATAAATTGTAGCGTGACCAGGATTGTCAAATGCATTGTGATGTATTTGGGACACTGATAGAGCACTGCATGTGTAGTAATCGAACTATGCTACGGGGGGATGCAATGGTCTTGTGTAGGCTATTGGCTTTATCCGAGGGCGGAATAAAACAGGTCCATTTGCAGGCTGGCTATTAGAATAATTTTCCTAACCATTTCTCGTTTGGTTTGGCTACACTGGCGAAAGGTTGATACCAGCAGTATCCAAAGTGAGAATGAATTTTCAGCAGGTGCAACTGAAGGTCATTTAAAAACCTGATGTAGCCTAAACACACTTACAATGAGTGTCATTCCTCATTATGCAGCATTGTAGTTGGTGTGTTTAAAAGAAAACCTATTGGTAAAATGTAGCCTTATATTATTGTAGCCCTATTCTCTCTGGTTAACAAACGCCCTTTTACGCACCAACACAGCTTCATATCATGTTGGCCATATATAAGCATCTGAGAACACTGACAGGCGTGTAAACATAGGCTACTCATTATCGTCATTCATAAGGGGCAAATCATCAAGAAAAATGCCTATAACGTCAATGACCTTAATACAAATGTGTAATTTTCTTAATGCATCCTTTTAAGCAAAAATGTTGACTTGAATGATGAGATATACGCATTTCGTTTAGAATCTTTTTGATGTTTTATTTATAATTAGCTAGCACAGCTTGGCTTGCGAAACCAGGTACCACTGCTTTGACATGGTGCAGAGAAAAATCAATTGTACTCACCATCTCGACAAGCATGTATTAAAATATGCATATCTTCCCATTGCTTTGCCGGGTCGTTCCTTCATACATACCGTCCTACATGCCGAAAACGTTAAGGATGCAAATAAATATTAGCGCTGATGGCAATATTTGCAGGAATTGGCCAGGATTCATAGGAGCCGAAACCCATATCGTTTCTGCGATCTTGCAATGGAGGGAGGCTATATACAATTCCACTCCAATGCGACCTAAATGCCAAGGTTACCAGAATTCGAAAATGACTGTTATTCTAAATTCACTAAATTTGAACAAATGCATCGTTTCGTTAAATATAAGGACGCCATGTAAGGCATGTGATACGATGTGGAATAATTCCTCACTGGCTGCCCATGCGCTACCTTCCTTGCCCCTATTTACCGACAATGCAGATATAGGCTGAAAGTGTATTCGTGAAACCGAATGTAGGTAGCCTAGCAGAGATTCTATCAGTTGGGCATGCGTTCCAAAAATTATTGATTAAATGTAATGTGATTCATACGTTCCCAATCTTTGCATTAGGAATGCATGTGCAATATTGACCCTGCTCATACACAATTATTTGTTCGCAGGTACGTGGTTTTCCAAGTAAATCTTCAAAATTACAATTAGCCTACAACATAGGCATAGCCTATTTATAAACCCATATTCATAAAATTGACAAGATTCATGCTTTATTAAAGTTTATTTGGTAGCCTATTTGAATAATCCCCAATCTAAATTGTTTTGGCGATACAGTAGCCTACAGTGCGAATCACCAGAGATGATGTTGAGGCACCAGAGATGATGTTGAAACGTATCCCAGGTTGATAATTTTAATATGACAATGTTTTCCCCTTTTGTTAAATGTCCTATATTTAAAGAAAGAAGGAAGGAGAACCCAGAAATAACACATCACATAAGAGTAGCATAGATGTTCTCAATGTTTATTTTAATTAAGGATGTATATATTCATAGATATACATAGACTCGTGCATTATGGTTTACAATTAACATAAACTTAAGCTGCTTAGTCATTGGTATGTACAGTGCCTTCATAAAGTATTCACACCCCTTGATTTTTTCCACATTTTGTTGTGTTACAGCCTGAATTTAAAATGGATTATATAGATATGTTGTCACTGGCCTACACAATACCCATAGTGTAATTATGTTTTTTGAATTTGAATTTTAAATTTATTTAAAAAGAAAAGCTGAAATGTCAAGTGAATAAGTATTCAACCCCTTTGTTATGGCAAGCCTAAATAAGTTCAGGAGTAAAAATGTGATTAACAAGTCACATAATAAGTTGCATGGACTCACTCTGTGTGCAATAATAGTGTTTAACATACTTGTACCCCACACATATCATTATCTTAAGGTCCCTCAGTCGAGCAGTGAATTTCAAACACAGATTCAACCACAAACACCAGTGAGGTTTTCCAATGCCTCACAAAGAAGGACGCCTATTGGTAGATGGGTACGAATAAAAAAGCAGACAGTATATACAGTAGTGCAATGAAGTAGGAACTGTCACATTGTGGTGGGTCGCACAGAATTCAGACCCTCCATTGAAAGTGCTTTTTAGTCCAGGAAGGGGTTTAATCTGGGTAGCCCCTACCTGTAACTGCCCAAATATCATTTAAGTAAACAGTTACCACACAATTCTATACACAATACAAGGCTTCCCTTTCATATTGTTACCACACAGGATCAAAAGTGAATATAGGTTTCTGTCACATGCACTATTGTTGTCAAATTCTATAATCTATATTGTGTATGTCAATTTCTGATCAGATTTAATGTTAGGCACTTTTTTGGATCATTCTGGCCATCTCTTCCTTTCATTGCTAAATATTGCTGCCCATTTGCGAGTTATCTCTAAATAGACAACAGGCTTGTGTGGTAAGTAGTCTAGGTACATAGTCTGGCTTGTTTTTGGAATTGCCATCTCAATCTGGGTTCCCTCATGCCATTCATTAAATGACGTTATAGATATAATATCAGCACTTGCTTCTAGGGCTGCACTCAGGGCCATTTCATAGTACTTCCCGTTAATGCGGTTGCGTGTATTCTGGAAATTCCAAGGCCTAATACTGGTGTCAATATAACCTGGCCCCACACTCGGAATGAACAACAGGTTGTTGTCGTCACAGAATGTTTTAATGGACTCCCAATTGCGGTGAGTGGAGCCATAGGAAAACCCATTAGTGGCAAAGTAAGTGTAGACTCCGTCGAAACCTGCCGTGACGATATCCCTCTTGTGTTTATCTTCAACAAGGAGGGCTATGAAGATGCCATCATAGGGAGTATCTCTAATGCTACTGCTTTCGGTGTGTTTCAGGAGTTTTGCCCACTGTTCTGAGTTGAGTAGATAGGAATCGTAGACGTAGAATAGAGGAAGAAATTTGCCAGTGTTTGTTCTATGCCTGTAGAATGCAGGGTGCTCACCATATCTTTAGATAGAATGACAAGATTACAAATTAAGTACCATTTTACAAATAGAGTCTACTTACAAAGATGGGCTGTTCAATCACATACAAATCCATAAAGCTGAGGTAGTATTTTAAACATTGCCAATATAAGGTATTACTGAACAAATGAATGAGTTAAGCTGGGGTAAAACCTATGTTGAATAGTAATAGAAGTGGAACTCCATTGATACTGACAAGGCTAAAAGCCAATCAGAAATATAAAATAAGGAATGGTGTAATACTTACTTCTCTATGATGTACTTGACATTGTTAAACATACTTGTTTCATCTCTTCCTTTGTATGGTTCAATGTGAAAAGCAACCTGTGTAGTAAACAAAAATCAACAGTAATATGGAAAAAATAAGCATTGGATTTGAGAACTGAAAATTGTTGGTCAAAGAATAAAAGTATTCACACCCTTGATAAAGATAAGCAAAAATGACTGTATAAAATAAATAATTCAAATACTGAGCTATATTGTATGCTAAATTTTTTTTTGAAATTATTTTGAATTCATACTAAAACAATTGCTCAGAGAAAATAGATTTAGTTTAACAAGTAATCATTTATTTTCTCAAAAATGTAGGTCTAAATGATTGACACCCCTGTTTTCAATACCTCACCTAGCAAGGATAACGGCACTGAGCCTTTTTCTAAAATGTTTTAGGAGTTAAAAAACACATGGGGGGGGGATCTTAGACAATTCCTCCCCACAGAATCCTTCCAGATCCATGATATCATTTGTCTGTGCTTATGGAGTGCCCTCTTCAATTCAAACCATAGGTTTTCAAAGGGGTTCATGTCCGGAGACTGAGATGGCCATTGCAAAATGTTGATTTTGTGGCCAATTAACAATTTCTTTGTGGATTTTGATGTGTGCGTGGGATATTGTCTTGCTGGAAGATCCACTTGTGGCCAAGTATCAGCCCCCTGGCAGAGGCAACCAGGTTTTTGGCTAAAATATCCTGGTACTGGGTAAAGTTCATGATTCCTCTAACAAGGGCCCCAGGACCAGTGGAAGCAAAATAACCCCATTTATATGTATTTTTTATTTTGACAGGGAAGACATATTGAGACCTAGGTCTCTTTTCCAGATGCGCCCTGTATAATACAATATTAAATACACATGAAAACACAAAATATATATATTAAAATAAAAAAACACAGTCATCCTAAGCACAAATAAAACATCACAAATCACTCAGAAAAACAGTTACATTCCTCCACAGATAAATCCCCAATCAATACTTTAAATTGCCCGAACAGCACCAGAACATCAAATGTATTTAGAATTTTGTTCCAGCAATACGGTGCATTAAAACTAAAAGTACATTTAACTAGCTCTGTGGAGACACTAGGAACCTCAAGAGTTAACCAATCCTGTGAACAGGTTAGTCAACTCAGGTGATCCAACACCAAGCAAAATAGCCCCATAACGTCAAAGATCCACCACCATATTTTAAAGTAGGTATGGGGGTTATTTTCTGCTCATGCATTCTCATTGACACCAAAGAGCTGTATTTTCATGTCATCCAACAAATTTAAATACCTGGAGTTTGCTAAACTGCATTGGTATTTGCCACTTGGATTGGAACCGGTGCTTTGGTCAGATGACATGAAAATAGAGCTCTTCGGGCACGCACACCAGTGGTGGGTTTGGCATCGAAATGAGAATGCATGAGCAGAAAATAAGCCCATAGCTACTGTAAAATATGGTGGTGGATCTTTGATGTTATGGGGCTATTTTGCTTCCACTGGTCCGGTGGCACTTGTTAAGGTCAACGGCATCATGATCTTCAACCAGTACCAGGATATTTTAGCCCAAAACCTGATTGCCTCTGCCATGTGGCTGAAACTGTCCACAGGTGGATCCTCCAGCATGACAATAACCCCAAGCACACATAAAACAATTCACAAAGAAATTGTTAATTGGCCACAAAATCAGAATTTTGCAATAGCCATCACAGTCTCTGAACTTGAACCCCTGTGGTTTGAATTGAAGAGGACAGGATCTGGAAGGATTCTGTATGGAGGAATGGTCTAAGAGCCCTCTCAATGTGTTCTCCAACTCATAAAACATTTTCTAAATAGGCTCAGTGCCATTATCCTCGCAAGGTGAGGTATTGAAAACAGGGGTGTCAATAATTTTTACCCCTATCTTGTTGAGATTTTTTTATTTTATTTCCTCTAATCTCTTTCTCTAAGCAATTGTATTAGTACAAAATAGAATATCCCCATTTCTTTCAGCATACAATATACAGTCGGGAGAACAAGTATTTGATACACTGCAGATTTTGCAGGTTTTCCTACTTACAAAGCATGTAGAGGTCTGTAATTTTTATCATAGGTACACTTCAACTGTGAGAGACGGAATCTAAAACAAAAATCCAGAAAATCACATTGTATGATTTGTAAGTAATTAATTTGCATTTTATTGCATGACATAAGTATTTGATACATCAGAAAAGCAGAACTTAATATTTGGTACAGAAACCTTTGTTTGCAATTACAGAGATCATACGTTTCCTGTAGGTCTTGACCAGGTTTGCACACACTGCAGCAGGGATTTTGGCCCACTCCACCATACAGACCTTCTCCAGATCCTTCAGGTTTCGGGGCAGTCGCTGGGCAATACGGACTTTCAGCTCCCTCCAAAGATTTTCTATTGGGTTCAGGTCTGGAGACTGGCTAGGCCCCTCCAGGACCTTGAAATGCTTCTTAAGGAGCCACTCCTTAGTTGCCCTGGCTGTGTGTTTCGGGTCGTTGTCATGCTGGAAGACCCAGCCACGACCCATCTTCAATGCTCTTACTGAGGGAAGGAGGTTGTTGGCCAAGATCTCGCGATACATGGCCCCATCCATCCTCCCCTCAATACGGTGCAGTCGTCCTGTCCCCTTTGCAGAAAAGCATCCCCAAAGAATGATGTTTCCACCTCCATGCTTCACAGTTGGGATGGTGTTCTTGGGGTTGTACTCATCCTTCTTCTTCCTCCAAACACGGCGAGTGGAGTTTAGACCAAAAAGCTCTATTTTTGTCTCATCAGACCACATGACCTTCTCCCATTCCTCCTCTGGATCATCCAGATGGTCATTGGCAAACTTCAGACGGGCCTGGACATGCTCTGGCTTGAGCAGGGGGACCTTGCGTGCGCTGCAGGATTTTAATCCATGATGGCGTAGTGTGTTACTAATGGTTTTCTTTGAGACTGTGGTCCCAGCTCTCTTCAGGTCATTGACCAGGTCCTGCCGTGTAGTTCTGGGCTGATCCTTCACCTTCCTCATGATCATTGATGCCCCACAAGGTGAGATCTTGCATGGAGCCCCAGACCGAGGGTGATTGACCGTCATCTTGAACTTCTTCCATTTTCTAATAATTGCGCCAACAGTTGTTGCCTTCTCACCAAGCTGCTTGCCTATTGTCCTGTAGCCCATCCCTGCCTTGTGCAGGTCTACAATTTTATCCCTGATGTCCTTACACAGCTCTCTGGTCTTGGCCATTGTGGAGAGGTTGGAGTCTGTTTGATTGAGTGTGTGGACAGGTGTCTTTTATACAGGTAACGAGTTCAAACAGGTGCAGTTAATACAGGTAATGAGTGGAGAACAGGAGGGCTTCTTAAAGAAAAACTAACAGGTCTGTGAGAGCCGGAATTCTTACTGGTTGGTAGGTGATCAAATACTTATGTCATGCAATAAAATGCAAATTAATTACTTAAACATCATACAATGTGATTTTCTGGATTTTTGTTTTAGATTCTGTCTCTCACAGTTGAAGTGTACCTATGATAAAAAATTACAGACCTCTACATGCTTTGTAAGTAGGAAAACCTGCAAAATCGGCAGTGTATCAAATACTTGTTGTCCCCACTGTAGCTCAGTATTTGAAGTATTTATTTTGTACAGTCATTTCTGCGCATCTTTTAAAGGGTGCCAAGAATTTCGAACCCCACTGTATATGAGCCATGCTTGCTCTTTTGCATGATCATCATACACACCTTTACATGATATGTATGCGCCAACTCCAGTATCAAAGGCACAATGTCATCTGTTGGCTCACCGTTTTCATCCTTCATGCCAGGTGGATACCAGGAAACAGCAAGAACACCTAGAAATGCAGACTGAGTTATTCAACTGATGATGAATGACATGGCAAACATGGGTCTTACCTTAGCAGAAAAATACAAAATTAATTGTATTACCAACATCAGAGCCGTACCAATAGCTGCTGCTCGCAGTTGCTTCATGTGAGCTTCAATAACAGAGGGGTCCCTGGAACTATAAGCTCCCAAAGCAGGATAGAAGTTGGCCCCAATGTCATCTGGTGGGCTGTGTCTCCCTCTTGGGTATCCTGCTGCCACCTTTGAATCCCAGTGTGGCAGAAGAGGGTGGTCCCAGTGAATGTACTTTCCATCAAACTGTGTGTTGCCATACCACGTGTAGTAAAAGGCATGAATGTTGTAGTTTGGAGCAGGGAATTGCCTGAGGGCAGCCTCTATGTTCTTGACCCTCTCGGAGTGTGTGTCATTCGTTTTGGTCAGTGCTGCTTCAGTGACGACACTGTCAATGTTACTAAGCATTTGAATGTCATTTTTTCCAGGTCCCTTGAAATTAGGCAACAATTCAAGATCAAAGCGTCTTCCAAATGGAGAATATTCTGGTGTAAAGGACTTTAAAACAACTGTTACTATGAATACGAGCAACACCAAACCAATAAATGTGGAGCAAGATTTTCGTCTAAACCTTGCCATTCTTCAGTTAATGCTTGTTGTGATCCACTGTCCATTCTTGTGAGAACTGTTAACGTTAGAGGTTTTTGGGCTTATTGTTGTCAATGAAAATTGGCTGCTGGATGTTGGTTCATTCTACGAATTGAAATACAGAAGAAAAAAAACAGGTTGACTACTTATCCATTCATGATAGGGCAGGAATAGCCTACCGATAACTGAAATGCAAGTGACAGAATAGGGACAGTGCTCCCCCAAAAAGAGTGAGGATCATTTCTAAAATTAAGAAGTTTATATTCGACCAGCAGAAAATGAATGGCGACGGACAGCGGTACACTAACCCAATGTTAACTTTTATGCCTTTCCCTAACTCTCACTGAAACTATACCTAACTATAACTTTCATTAATTTAGACCCCTATGCCTACACTTAAACAATTTTTCTGCCGGTTAAATATCCACTTCCTAGTGTCAAAATTAGTAGGCCTATCATGCATTAATGCTACAATCTGCGATTAAATAAAAACAACAAAACAGGTCCCCGCCACTTGTTTTGGTATACAGCTGAGGAATATTGCTAGGGAAATTCAACCCCACCAAAATGCACCGACAGTGCTCTAGATGCAAGGACTGACTGTCCATGAGATCCAAAAGTTAACTACATTTTGACGATATTTACATTTGAGGCATTTAGCAGTCACTCTTATCCAGAGCGATTTACAGGAGCAATTAGGTTTAAGTGCCTTGCTCAAGGGCACATTGACATATTTTTCAGACTTTCTTATCCAGAGCGATTTACAGGAGAAAATTGGATTAAGTGCCTTGCTCAAGGGCCATTCTTGCTCATCGACAGATTTTTCAGACACTAGCAGATGCTCTTATCCAGAGCGATTTACAGGAGCAATTAGGATTAAGTACCTTGCTCAAGGGCACATCGAGATATTTTTCATCTAGTCGGTTTGGGGAATCGAACCAGCGACCTTTCAGTTACTGGCCAAACGCTCTTAACCGCTAGGCTACCTGCCGCCCCGTTTGTTTACATTCTTGTTGCTTGTAAACAAGCAAGAAATAAAATCGTATATTTTGGGTTATGTAGAAGACAGAAAGTTGTACTAAGATCGTGAGACATACTTATATCCTTCAAGAAGCAATGGGTAGCCTAAATATCAAGAACTAAATAAACATTGCAGCTTCCCAATTCCAGACACTATACGTGCAATATATTCTTACAGTTTGATAGTTTCTTATTGTTTTCAATTGTATGTCTAGTGATATGCCGGGAAAACAATATTGCAATGTGAAAGTATTTTGTTATGATTATCGCCTAATAGTTACATTGTTACAACAACCAACATTTCAGTGCGCTATGCGGAAGTCCTATTTTGAAATGAGACTACGGAATGTTATTACAAGAGGCAGATTACTCAGTAAGAAACACATTTGCCATAAAGTCGAAATTAATCTATATTCTTGCAAAATACGACAATTCAACAATCAAGGTTAACATTACCTTGCTGCATTTGCTTGCTGTTGTCCTCTCCGGACATTGCTGCTGTGAACTTTAGACTGGACAGGACAGCAGAAATCCGAATTAGCTACATAGCCTATTATCTATTTTGTCCGAAGCATACTGAAATGTTGGTTTCACTGAATTAGACAGTAGGTCACAGGCTACATACCTACCTACCTACCATATGCCGATACGCAGGACAATCTACTTGTGAAAGATTGTTTTCAAATTGACGCTATTCATTGCTCCTGTTCAAGATCGTTCATAGCATACCTTTAACATTGTGTGTGTTTGTGACATGTAATGAACGGGTTTAACTCACGTGCTGCGTAGGTAGGCAGCGTATAGATCTACAAGTAATCTTACCTAATGCCAAAGCACTCTATGATCCATCTATGTTATTGAAGATTTGTGAATCTGCGCTGCGCCCAAGCTAAGAAAAAGTGAACAAGAAGATGAAAAACAGCAGTCAGGGGTGCAGTCCCAAAGCATGTCGCCCTCAGTCTTTCAGGAAGACGTATTACATTAAACCAGCCAGCAAAATATTGGTTATAAATAATGATTTTCTTGTGCATAGTTTATTTATGTAAATTGTTTGTTTGCGTCCACGAGCAAACGTTGTTCTCTGTGATGCCACTGATCAACCCTCTACATTACTCAAAAAGGAACTGATCAACCCTCTACATTACGCAAAAAGGACACCATCTTTGTTGCGTCATAAAGGAAAGACAACATTTTCAAACCTCTCATATGTAGACTACCCACCTTTGCCAGCTAAAGCCAGTGGTGAGTAAAATCATTGATACATTCTAATGTATTTCACCCATTTATTTGGACTAGGGACAGATGCAATTAATTATTGAAATACTGAATTATCAAGAGTCAGATGCATTACTCCACCTAGCCCCAACTGTGAATCCGATTCCATGCTGAATACAGTTTTCAATCTGGTGCAATTATCACAAGTAGCCTACATTGTCAATTTTCATAACTCAGCATCCAAGTCTAAACAGATCATAGAAAATGGCTTTTTTTTCAGAACTCTTAATATATGTTAAATTGACCTAGTAGGCCTACAACAAACAAATTCACCAACTCGTTCACTGAACCAAGAACCAAATCACTCTTTAAATTAGAACACATTTTCATTCTATAAATCTGCTTTTAATAATGCAATACTCACATAATTTTTTATGATTTTCTTGCCTTTTGCTAATATACATTTATGACTGAATCCAACTGCTCAAAACGGATAACTTCTTAACCAAAATAGTGCCTCCCAGTGAGTAAAATGATGTTGAAAATACTTATTTTCGGTTCTGAATGAAAGTTGGACAGATGTATTTTCCAGACTTTGAAAATATGTATTTTGCTGACATTGAAGTCACGCTGTCAGTTCTATTCGCCTTATTCAGGAACGTCACAGTGATTTAGTTGCAATTGTGTTTCTATTTCCTGCAACATTCGCGCGACGCTAGCGCATGCAAAAGTGGTACTTTTAGTTGAGCGCTTGATAGTTTCACACTGACAGAACCGCACAAAATCCTAAAATCGATCAACATGACAAGCATGATATGTTCTGTACGAGGCTGTCACAATAATTGGATGAAGAGGAGGAAGATGTTACAACAGCAGTGTTTTGAACACCAACCTCTACGTCGATCTGAATGTACCTGTGGAGCCCCATACGACCTGCATCCACCTCCTAAAGACGCAGAGTCTTTGCGGCTCTGGCTCAAAGCGTTGAACCTAAAGAAACCACCAAAACGTCCCTTTGTGTGCTCCTACCACTTCTTTGACAAGAAGCCTACAGTGGAGCATCATTAACCAGAAAAATGGTTTGGCTACGATGCTCCACTCCTGAAGAAGCGTTGGGTGTTGGTCAGGCAGTCATCAGTGACAGGTAAGCCAAACGCTTGAGCAGTTTGCCTGCTCTCATTTTGTGTCTCCCTCTTGCTCTTGTATCTAAGCACAGTCTCATAATAGCACAATTTATTTCCTCTACAACTCAATAAAAAATTCCCATTTTATATATACTTAATTATTATGATTATTAAATATTATTAGTATGGTGTTTAATTGTACGGTTTTGTTAGTAATTGTCCATTGACTTGTTTAACAAGCCATACTGATTTCTTAACAGATGACACAACAGGCTCAAGTGTTCACCAATTTGAAAATGGGGATTGGCCAACACAGATAGAAGGAATGGATATGCCTTCAGAGAAGGATGTCCAAACCCAATGGGAAGACCCATCTCTAAGTGATCACAACTACAGCTCAGGTGATCATGTAAAGCCCACTACCTGTGAGGCAGGGACACAGTGCCCAGCAGCACCTCTCTACAAAACCCTGCTGAGGAACGACGTACTCTGTCGACTGCATACAGGCTTGTCTCTTGCTGCCTTTTCTACCCTGGCGGAACATCTTCTACCCCTCTACAAAGACAGCTTTCAGTTAGACCTGACAGACCATCTCCTGATGACACTGATGAAGCTCAACTTGCTGCAGCAGTACCTAGCAGAAAGGTTTAATGTTTCCCAGAGTATTGTCAGTCGAGTGATTAGTTATTGGATTGACATGATGGAAGAGAATCTGAGGGAGTACATTCCATGGCTGCCAAGGGAGACCATCTGTGCTTCAATGCCACAATGTTTTAAGGACCACTACCCAGGAACAACCTGAATTATTGACTGCTCAGAAACTGCTTTACAGAAGTGCAATAATCTGGATTCAAGGGGGGAGTCATTCAGCCATTACTACGCACAGAACACTATCAAGTACCTGGTGGACATTGCACCTTGTGGTCTAGTGATGTTCATCTCCTCAGCATATGGAGGTAGATGTAGCAACAAATATATAACATCGGATTCTGGGTTCCTGAAGTACCTCTGTCCAGGTGATGAGGTCATGGCTGATCGGGGCTTCACAATTCGTGATCTGCTACACGAGAGGAATTCCTGGGATACAGATGCTCCTGGAGAAACTTAACAGGGTTGGTGGATTCCCTGACAGGGACCTTCTTGGCTGAGCTTGCAGTAACTCAAAGCTTCCTTGAGTCACGCCACAAGTGTGAGGCACTCTGCTCCTTTGTGATCTGTTCCAAAGCAGTCGACTTGGTTGGGTCAAGTTTCATAAATTAATTGTAGAAGGACAGGCACTTCTGGCAGTTGTAATTGACATGCGCTCCATGTGGGAAAGAGTAGAGAATCTATATTAAGTTATTATATGGAGTTAGAAAACATTGAAGAGACACACATCAGTTCAAATACATTAAAATGATACAGCCACAAATAAAATTCCTTTCAGTCCAATTTTACCTGGGATGCTACTGACTGTGATATTATTGTCGAGCATTAACACACTTATAGAGCAGACGTCCCACAGGCAGATTCAGGTGTCTCAGGCTCCTATTCAATTCCTCCTGTGAGTGGAATGCAGGACTTGGAGGCACTGGTGGACATTCTGGACGCTTTTCTGCATATTGGTCACCGGCCTTATGTTGTGTGAAGTCA